AACCTGCAGCAAAATAGCAACTGCTGTTTCTCAATCCCATCTTCCCATTGCTCAAGCACCACCACAAACGCGAGATCTTCAATTCAGCCAGGAAACAGGGATTAAGGAGGAAAGTAGTTGTAAGTATAAAGATCCATCAGAAAAATGCCTCTTGTCACTTATTTTTCTGAATGGAAACCACTTCCAACTCCCTTGAATTTGGTCAATTGCTCCGATCAAAAGCTGCTGTCACAAGTGAGGCTGCAGCACCCTTGGCTGAAGCAAGAAAAAGTTTTGAATTGCTATAATTATAAAAAGGAACAGATTTTTCTAAAGTCCTCTTTTGCCTCCTGCCTCTCCGGTATATATGTCAGTAATTGGACTTTTCTCTCTGAAGAATTTAAAATAGAGAGCAAACTTGAACACATATTCATCATAACTTTATATTTCATTACTGCTGCATGCAAATGAAGAGATTAGCAAAGTTTTTGAGAGATACTATTTATTCACAGAAATTTTCCATACAAATAAAAAAGAAAAGGTGGTCAAAGAGGAAGCTAATTCCCTTTTTCCTAATAGGCTTTCATTTGAACTTACTTACAAGCATGTTTTCAATATCAAATCATCTTTTATAGCCACATATATTTCTGCTCTCCTTAAAAATCACAAATTTTAAAATTTGCTAATCTGAGTATATTGCCAGTGTCTTTTGCACTTTGTTATATCTTTGGAGACACAGAAATAAAAGCATGTGCATACTACCAGTGATGGAAAAGAATTTCAACCCCTTGTTATTTGCATTAAAATACAATTGTTCCCTTCATCTACACCCAAGTTTGCTATGTCCTGTGAGGTAGGGGCAAATAAATACCTTTATTTAGCTATTCATAGGGGTTTGTGTGCTGCTCAGTAAAGACAAATGAACAATGAAAATAGCACATTCCTGGACCTTAGATTAGTATTACACCAAATTCGCGGCACAAATAGGGTTTCCTTGGTTATGATGCTGGTTCTCTGGTGTATGATAAAACTCACCTAAGGTGACCTTTGTGCTATGGTGCACCTCCAATTATGCAGAGAAACACAAAGCTATTTAACAGATTCATCTTTTTATCAACATTTAATAACTTCCATTAAGCCCCTTAGCAACTTCAAACAAAAATCTTAGGAGAAAGACTAAAGCACATGACTTTGCAAGTTAAGAAAACCCCTTCTAGAATATGAGAAGAAGACACCCTTCAGGAAACTGGAATTTGTTTGGGACCACTGTGACAGCCATGCAGGTAACCACCTTCTCAAGGGCTCTCGAGGGCTACCCGAGCTCAGCTCCAGCTTTGCAGACACATCTCCAGTAGTGCAACAGCTATCAAAGCACGGGTTTTGAAATGTCAGTCGCGACTAGAATTACATGTCCGCACAGCGCAAATTCAGGCAGACAGCTGCAGGCCGGCATTGGCGGAGTGGCGAAGCAGAGTCCAGACCGGGACTGCGCTCGGCGCAGACCGGGGCGCTGCTGCTGTGGCTGCGGCCGCCTCTCGCCTCCCGCGCTGGGCTGCGGGAGAGACGCAGGGCGAGGAGGGACGGAGCAAAGGGGAGATCCAAGAGGCGGCAGGGCGGGAATGCGCTCAAGCGGACAGGCACCCCCTGATGACTAAGCTGCTCTGGCTGGTCCCCAGCTCAGCGGGCCAGAGAGGCGCGTTGTGCCGCGGCAGCCTTCCAGGGTTTCCCTCATGACTCACGCCGCAGGGAGCATTCCCCGAAAACCAGCACGCCCCCGGCCGGGGCTCCCGCGGAGGCTCCCGGGGCACTTTCCGTGAAACACTTCAGCAGGACCAGGGAGCAGCTTGTGCCGAGCGTGGCAGGGGCGTCGGTGCCGCCCGCTGGAGGCTCCGGGGAGCGAGGGAGGGAGGGAGCAGAGCCATGCCTCTTTGGCCCCGCACCCCCGGCACCCTGGCCGCCAGCGCCCTGGGCAGGCTGGCCCCCGACGTCCCTCTCACACCGATACCCTGTGCCCGGGGCAGCGTGTCCTTTGTCGTCCTGAGCATCCCGGTACCCCGTGCCAGGCAGAGCCGCGGGGTCCCCACTGCCCGCTCCGCCGCTGCCCTGCCAGCTCGGCTGTCCCACGGCAGCGCAGCTGCGCTCCCTGCAGCCTCAGCAAGCCAAGGGGGTACCCCGGAGAAAGGGGCTTGTAAGATAAAACGTTCACCTTCGAGGGAAAAATACCTCTTAATTGTAGACGGGGATGGAGGAACGATCACTATGCTCCAGTTATCCCGCGCTCGCGCGTTAAAGTGATGCACGGGAGATGTCCCTGCAGCCTCAGTGTGGAGGGTGTGCATGCCCACCCCCGGGCAGACCTTCTGCAGGCGTCCCGACGCATTTTTTCTCGCCTTCAAGAGAAAATCGGGTTTTACTGCAGCAGTTCCCGCTGAAGTTGCACCGCACGTGTTTGCGGGGAGGGCTACAGACACTTGTTTCAAGCAAGATTGCCCGTTGCAAAGCTTTTGTGTTCTCTTTTGTTTTGGTTGGGGTTTGGATGATGCCTTTGATTTTTATTCGTTATTCCGGTTTTATTTTCGAATCAGTGACACAACTTCAAGACTGAGTAATAATTATTTACAGTTCTGGAAAGAGGTGCAAGAGACGTCCAAATGAGCCCCGGTTATGGAATTGGAAACCTTTATTTCCGTAGGCGTACAGGTACATATATGAAGCCAGCAACGAGCTGAAGCCCGGGAGGAGAAAAACAACGTGTAAAGACATCATGGATAATCTCAACGGTAACCAACCAGTTTCTCTAGTGCTTCTGAAGCACGGGCATCCCTCTCTTCAGCTGTCTTTCGTGCCTTGTCGGGTCACGTAGTGGTGCAGGATAATTAACCTTTGGCTTTTTCTTACACAGTCCTTTGTAGCTCGATCATCTTTCTTCAGATCGCCTTCTTACCGCGGGGGTCCACCTACAATTTCAGCCTCTGTAACCACGGCAAGATACAAGAGGATCTACTAAACGTTTTGGATGCAGCCACAACCTTTACACAAGAGGTTGGTGCTTTCTCTGGTGGCATCGGAGGGAAACTGTCGGGACGGCACTGCCTCCACGTTTTTACCCTTGACCACCGGCAGCTATTTTCTGAAAATCTCGGTTAGGAAGCCGGGAGTTGGCTAGTATAGTAAACCGGTACCTGTGAAACAGGACCTTGAAGTTATGTCCGGCTCTCCTCCGGCGACCTTCCTAAAATGTGCTTCGCTGAAGCTGGGACTGGCAGGGACGGAGAGCAGGAGCCCGGGCGGCCGCTGCCAGAGCTCTACCCGACCCCTTCCCAGCGCCTTGCAGACCCGTAGGACTGAAAATCGCTTGTATAATGCTTCACCGACGCTGAAGACGGTGTCACGGTTGCAAAGGTGATAAGTGGTTTAGAAGCTACGCGGAGGGTTCACACGCGCAGCCGGCCCTTAGCTCCAAGACCAGGCAGTGTTTTTCGGGGAGAGTAGCCTTGCCGTTGGCTCGGACATCAGAGCCCGGAGCTGCCCAGCGCAGCCCCGCAGCGGCCGCCCCGCACGGCCGCCGCCCGACCCCGCAGCCGCCCGCACCCTGCGAGGCCGCGACGGGACGGGGCGCCCCGACAGGAGGGATGTCCATAACGGGGGGCCCGAGACAGGCTGGCAGCCTGCGAAGGCTACCCCGTGGGACGTGGCTTTAACAAGCATCCTCTGTTGTTGTTGTTTCCTTCCAGGAGCTACGACTCGATTTTCACACCTGCGAGGACGCGCCCTCCGAGCCGACGGGCAAGCAGCTGTCCGAGGTTCGCCCCGGAGGGCTCCCTTCCCGGCGGCTAGGTGGAATTCCCATTCCAAAAAAAAAAAAAAGGGGAAGAGGGGGGCAAGAAAGGGAGAAAGGAATATGAGGGAAAGGGGGAAAGGTAAGGGGGAAAAGGAGAAGGAGGGGAGGAAAAGAGAGGAGGGGAGGAAAGTGAGGGAGAAGGAAAGAAGGGAAAGAGGGCAGAAGGGGGCAAGCAAGGATGAAGTGCTTTATTATATCCTTGGAGTGGTGGATGGGGAGCCTCTTTTTAGGGATGCGTGGGGAGGCGCTGAAGGGAAAAGGAGTTAAGGGTCGTGACTGGCCGTCTGCTCGCAGGACTCGAGGCGGGCGGAGCGAGCGGGCCGGCTGCTGGAATGCCTCCTGGAGCGGGCGCGGGGATGCGGGGAGCGGCCGGAGCTGTGGCGCCTCACCCGGTCCGTCCTGAAGCGCCACTGCCCCGGCTTCGACGCGCCACAGCAGGGCAGTAGTGGGACAGCGCGGCGGGGCAGCCCCGGAGACAGCGCCGGGAGCGCCGCCGGGACGGCAAGCCCGGTCCCGTGCGACAACAGCAAAGCCCGGGAGCTGGTGGCGGTGTGGAGAAGCTACAACAACTTAGGATAGGTGGCCGGGGGGGGGCGCGGCTTTGCATTTTGCGTCCTCCGCCGGACTTCACTTGCATTGTCCGCCGTGCAGTCATGGCAACGGAGTCATCCTGAGGGTTGGTTTTTGGTTTTTTTTTTTTTTTTTAATATCCATAATTTATTAAAAAAAAAAAAATGAAACAAAAAAACAAAAACAACCCACATACAAAACCACCACCACAAAAACTCAAAACAGACACCTCGGGAAGTTCAGAGGCTCCCGAGGCGGGTGTCTCGAGGGATGCGCCATCGGAGGTGGGCTCACCTCGCGCCCCGCTGCCGCCTCTGCGGCGGGACCGCCCGCAACCGGACCTGGTGCTTTGCCACGGCAAAGGGGATAACGAAATGAAGACTAAAAGGGGATACAAAAATGAAGAATAAAAGTTAAAAAAAAAAAAAAAAAAACAAAAACCCACCGCGCAGTCGCGGCTGCCTCGAATGTTTGCGGCAGAGTTGGCGGCACCCCGCCCGTGCGCGGCGCGGGGCCGCTTTCGGCGGCGCACGGCGGGGCGGGGCGGGGCGGCGGAAGCGGGCGGGCGCTTCCTGCGGGAGGGCGGGCGGATGCGGACCCGGACGCGGACGGGGACACGTGCGGAGCGATGGCGCGGGAGGGCGCGGGGCTCTTCGCCGCGTTCCGGGTGCTCGGCCGCTTCAGCGGGCACGTCCCGCACGTCCTGCGCTACCACGGCCGCCACCGCGAGTTCTACGTGGCCGTGGCCGTCGGGCGCAGCGTGCACACCTACAATGTGAGTACGCGGCGTCCTGGTCCCCGCTCCTTTTTCCCGGCCTCCATCCCGCTCCCACCGGCCGTGGGGAGGCCGGGGCCGTGCAGAGAGGTCCGCCTCTTCCTGCCCTCCTCCTCCGCCCTCGCCGTCGTGATGCGGGAGCGTGTGCGGGGCTGCGGCGCCCCGGTGCCGCTCCTCTGCTGCCGGCCTGACCGGGAGGGAGGGGAAGAGGGAGGCTGCCGGCTGAACAGGCCGGGAATGAGCTCGTTCAGCCATGTGGGCAGCGCTAGCCGGTGCGGCACGGCCCATTCGTCGGGAGCGCCCAGCTACTGAAGCTTTTCCTTCATCAGGAGATAAATCAAACCCGCTCTGGTTTAGCGTTTGAGGGTCACGCTTTAGGGGCGGGGGGCCGTCAGATCCTGTTAAAACTCCTGTATGAGCAGGGATCAGCAGAGTTGAGCTCAGCAAGATGAAAGCCTGTGATGCGGACTCGGCTTTTTTGCGGTGTGGAATCCTATACCCCTGAAGGTTGGAAGGGGCCTCTGGAGATCACCCAGACCAAACCCCCTGCCAAGGATGGGTCATCTAGAGCAGGTTACAGTGGAAGGTGTTTAGGTAGGTTTGGAATGCCTCAAAAGAGGGAGACTCCGTGACTTCCCGGGGCTCAGCCAAAGCATTTTCACTGTGTAGGATGCAGTACTGTGCAGGACTGAGCTGAGTACAGCTAACACCAGAATGCAGACATCAGGGATCTTCCTCTGCTTCTGTGGCACCTTTTTGCGTTCAATCCTGTCAGTCTTCTTCACAGCCTTTGACTAGAGTAGTGATCATCACTGGCAGAGATGGCTAGGTGTTTGCAACTAAAGCAAAATCTCTGTGAGCAGAGATAAAATTAGAATACAGGGTGGTTGTGGTGGAAATAAGGTAGAAGCAGAGATGATGTGGAAATGATGGTACCCAAACTCCTCAGGATGTCTAAACACATCCTTAAGTTTCCTATGCATTAAGGTAAAATACATCAGGAAGCACAACTTACTGTTGATGATTAGTTGTCTTTTGGCAAATGTATTGTCCCATTCCTTTTGACCTGCTGCCTGTGTGTTTTTCAGTAGACAATGTTCTAAACTGCAATGAGTAATCTTCCTGGTTAATGAAGTATCAAATACATTGTCTGATCTAGGTTAATTCCTAGAATTTTTAATTTGCTTATACCAAATTCATTGCAACCAATCATTAAAAATGCATTTTTAACATTTTCATTGCAGGTGAAGAAGCTTGGTATTGTTGCTGTGAGTAAGTATTCATAAATTGTTAATTCCTCTTATTTTGTTGGGTTTTTTTTTAAACATGTCCAACATCTGCACTTCATTTTCAACTAAAAAACAAGAAAATAAATTGTACTTGCTAATATTTACACTGAAATATATTAAAAGGAGTCTCAGAAATCTAAAATACCAGTTTGTAAATAAGATTACTATTGAAACTGAAATTTAGCTTTCTTAGAGACATACCTTTTGAACCTTCTGTTCTTACCATCTTGTTCTTCCAAAAACACCTCTAAGCCATAAGGATTGATTGCACAGTGAATAAAGCTCAATTATTAACTTATTGAATTAATTTCACATCCCTTTTTTGTTGTTTTTGTGATTATTAGAAGACTCTTAGAGGAGAAAAATACTTACATGAAGAAAATAGATGTGGATGCCTTCAGGGGGTGTTAGGAGTTGGTTGTGCTGGTGGATACAAAGGATATGGATTGGTGGCTTGACACTCACTTGGCCTTTGGTGGCAGAGCACCCTGGGTGTCAGCAGCAGGGCCCACGTCCTTCAGCACCATCCCCAGCAGCCAGGGTGATGAGGCAGCGTGCACCCCCAGGATAAGCTTGCAGAGGATGCTGTTTTAGGAGGAGGAGCTGACACCCAGAATGGCAAAGTTTTGGTCCAGGGAGCTGCTGCAAAACATGAATCCTGGGCCAGCAGGAGCCTTGCCAAGTCTGGCGAGGACAAGTGCAGCATCCTGCTGCACGGAGCAGCTGGGAGCTGACTGGCCCATGGCATCCTGCTGGGGAGAAGCTGGAACTGTGCTGGTGCCAGGCTGAGTGAGCACCAAAGACACGGTAACTGTGGGTAAGGCAGGCTGGGTGTCAAACCTCATCAGCAATGCATCCAGCAGATCAGGCGAAGCTCTTCTCCCCCGGCACCTCACGCCAGTGGGGCCGTGGCTGGACTGCAGCACCCTGTTAGTGTGGTTCTGTCCCTTCCACAGCTTCCCTTCCTCCTGCAGGAGACATGCTGAGGAGCAGGAGAGTGTCTAGAGCAAGCAGTATGAAAAGAAGCATTGGAGTAGCTGGGTCTGCTTAGTGCTAAGAAGGGCAAGATTCAGGGTGACCCAGAGGGTGCCTGAAGGGCAGAAGGATGGTGGGGCTGGATTTGTGCTGATGGTGGTGGACAGAGCAGCAAGGGGCAACACCCTCAGACTGCTGAGACCCTGAGAGGGTCACAGTGGAGGGTAGGAAAAATGTCCCCAAAGAGGTAACTGTGGTACAGTGTAGACCTTGAGGAGAACTCCTTCCACGGAAGTGTTCAAGACTCAGCTGGGCACAGCTGCAGCTAACCCAGTCTAGTACTGGAGCTAAACTTAGTGAGGAGCTGGTGGCATGTTGAACCAGTTGATTTCCAAAGCTCCCTTTCACTTGGCACTTACACGATTCAGAGGTATGCACTCTGTCTTGAAAAGTAGGGACTTTACTTCTGTGTACCACGAAGTTTTTACAGAGATGTCATATATAAAATATTTTCTATTAATAGATGATCTGTAAATTTGAGAAAAAATGTCACGCATCCAGGACTAGATTAAGATTTCAGCTATGTATTTTTAAAGGTGTAAACAAATTAACTTTTTCATCTTGCAAAGTGATAAAAACATTGCATATTCTGTTCTGCAGTGGGCTACATCTTCTTACATGATGTAGTCATCTAAGCTTTTTGAGAAATGCTTAGATGAAATGTTTACATACAAAATTGTGATTGAAAAAAATGAATGCTGTGCCTCCCACATTTTTATGTGCTGTTGGTTTGTAGATGTTATGTGGTTGATGCTCTGAGCTTTTCAACTTGGATCTGCCTAAAACTGTCTTAGCCTAAGCAGCCTTGCATGCAGCTCCTGTGGAGTGCCAGGTGTCTGTAACCCGGTTGTAAGCCTGAGTCACTTCAGGGGTGCTGTGGGAAGATATGTTCAAACAAATGAAACCTCATGGAGTGCAGCCTTATTTTGTGTTCTTATTTTAGTTCTCCTTTTGAAGCTGTGCTGCAGTACAGCAGAGGGTGCAGTTTTCTTTGTGCCTGCTAACAATTCACCGTACAGAGCACCTTTGTGGGAAAGGCTGCTGTGTGACCATGCTAGTTTTTTTGTTTCATAGGTGCACTCCCACAGTGATTTTTGACCTAGTGTTTCTCTGCAGAAGTGTAAAGTGCTTTAGTAATTTACGTTTTTATATTTCCTTGGATTGAGAGTATTATTCCCTATAGTAATTTGTTTTCCTTTTTTCTACTATTTGGGACCACACCAGCAGCTTCTCAGTGTGGTCTGGAACTGATTCTTTTACCTTTTGGGCTAGTAAAGTAAATATACTGATTTTAGATACTCTTTCTGAACCAGTCATGAGGTAAGAAATGAAATGTATTCTTAGAGCATTAAATTCTTTGTGTGATCAGGAGATAGGTGGAGGAGTGAGTCACTAACTCCTAGGCCTGCAGAATAACTTAACCTAATAAGCATTGCTAATGTTGAGACTTTAATTTATCATGTTTTTTCAGCCCTCACAGAGCTAATGTGTACCTTTACTTACAGAGATATTTCACTGATTTATTTTCAAGTGCTTTTCAAAATAACAGCCTTACGTTCTTCCAGTCTTATCTTACTTATGATATTTTTACTGGTGTAATGTTTTGTAGTAATATTTGCATGCTTCTGAAATGTGTGTATTTCTCTAAAATTGAACATGATGTTCGAACAGAGGGTTTTCTTTGTGGGTCACTGTGCCAAAGAAATACACTGTCAAGCTTTCTGTCTTGCTAGGAACCTGAAACTCGTTTAACTTTTCTTTTTTTGATCAACAGGTAACACTTTGCCACAGGACATCACATGTTTGGCAGCAGATCGCATGCTGATATTTGCTTCATATGACAATATTCTCCATGCTTTTGCCAGGAACAAAGAGGTTTCTGTTACCTTACTTATTACTCAGTAGTAAAAAAGTTGTGTAGTGTCTGTGGTATCAAGGCAGTTAATTTTCTCTGAATGCCTATTTCTGTAGCTGTTTGGTACCTTCAGTTTTAGGGAAACAAGCTGTAAAATGAAGAGTTAAAGCTTAAACTGGAACGTAAGAGCAAATTCCGTAATGCTGAACTATGTTTTGCTTATAAATTGGAATAATTAAGTAGCTATTTAAAGATTGAAAAAATCATCAATTCAGATAAGCTAAATTAATTGAAAATAAATAATTAAAAATCCCTAGCTAGCATATTTTTTCAAACAGTTTTAAATATCAGATACAATTATCTCTGTTGCATTTCAAGTTGTGTGTCCTTTCCATGAATTTTATTTGAACTTGTTGCTGACATCTCTTAACTGTCCTCAAGTATTATGTTAACATGGTATTCTACCATAACAGCTTATTAGAAGCATTTCTATTTTGAAATTATAGGTGGTTCATACCTATGAAGGCCACAAGGCAAAGATACACCTTCTACAACCTTTTGGTGATCATGTCATCTCTGTGGATGTTGATAATGTTCTTATTGTTTGGAATATACAGTCAGAAGGTGAGAGATTTTATTTTTTTTGCTGCTTTATAGGATAGCACTGTTAGACATTCGGTAATTTAGGAAGAATGGTTTTTTTTAAATGCACACATTCAGAAGCAATTTATCCTTAAAAATAAAATTCTTACATGATCATGCTATTTAGTTGATCTGAAGTCCTAATCCTGCAGTAGTGTTTCATTAATGGATACTCTGCCATGTGCAGAGGCTCACTGAGATTCCGTGTAGATGTAAAAGAGAGAATGATTATATGAAAATTACATTTTGGTGTTCCATTTTCTTGTAAAGGCTGTGATAGAGCAGCTTTGGCATTATTTCTAATTCTTGTAATTCCTTGGTATCTAACAGACTGGGTGCGACTAAATGCTAATGAATAATCTTTTCGTATGTGTCAGCATCTTCTCATGCCATTTTCAAGTGCTTTGTGAAATTGTGCTTCAGGGCCCCAAACATGTTTCTATAGAAAGCATTCATTGGTGTGACCAGTGTTATTCTCTGCGTGCTGGTTGTTGAAAGTGTTTGTAACCAGGTTTAGAGGTTTGGAGTTGCTATAACAAACAGGCATTCTAATCAGATGAGGTGTTTTGCTCAGGCAGGAGCAGGAATCCCTCAGAAAGATATAAATCAGATAAAGATATGGTATTGCCGGTATTGTTGTACTGGATAGACTTACAGGGAAAAAATACACCTTCAAGCAAACAGATGTTTACATTGTAAAGACGTTTAGCCTCTTCTGGTTCATGTTAGCTAATCCTGTAAGAAAGGCCAGTTGCAGATTTGAAGAGTTAAACATCTGTCCTGCTTTTACATTTGCAAAGGGAGGACAAGCCTGCAGATTTGTAGGGGTAGCCACACTAACACTGTTTCTTGCTGTTTTTGCAGAAGAATATCTTCAGATAGATTTTGATAAAGCCACTTTTGCAGTTTCTGCACTTCTGCACCCCAGCACCTATCTGAATAAAATTCTCCTTGGGAGTGAACAAGGAACCTTGCAGCTATGGAATATAAGATCCAAGTAAGATTCCTGATACTTTGGCTGTGCTTAATGCTCCAAGTAGTTTGATAAGCAACAAATGATACTGTTAAGTGTGGAATCTTTTACTGACTTCTGGCACAGGTTTTCAGTTGGTATATTTCCAGGAACAAGGAATGCTGCTGCTCCCTGAATGCTGATGCCTTTCAGGTTATGTATTGTAAGAGTAATCACCTTGCAAAATGTCAGGGGTTGTTCAGGAATATTTTTTTTTTTAATTTCTTGGAATCACATAGCTTTCGCATGAAAGCTTTTGAAATAATAGTAAAAACATGTTCAGACCTCCTGGCTCCCATATTCCAAGCTTGATTTTTTTGGTTGTTGTGGGTCCAAGGAAGTGCTGGCAGGTAGAGTAGAGGTAATTACTAGCATTTGAGCTTAGATTCAGGTAAGAGATGCATAGGCATGCAGTTGTCTCTGAGTGTGTCCCAGTAGATCATCACCCATAATGTCAGTGTTTCATTCCTACCATGAGCAGCTGCTTTTCTAAATCATGAAAGTTACAGGTACAGTGAGCTTCATTGCAAGTTAATGTTCATGCTGCAAACACATGTTAAGTCAACTTGCATAAATCAGTGCTTCATTCTCCTAAGTCAGCTTGCCATGATATCACAGATATTTCATTTTTTCATATGTTCATGGCATATAGTTATTTCATTGTTCTGGTATTAATACACAACACTACCTTTTCAATAAAATTTAGCCATAAGTTTTATTTTTAACCTTACTTCTTAGTATCACAGGCTTTCTGTATCAGTACATATAAAGCAATCACTGTGTCACAGAAAATCCCCAAGGGTTAATTGATTTATGGGGTTTTTTATGTTTTTTTTCACAGCAAACTCTTGTACTCGTTTCCAGGATGGGGCTTAGCAGTCACAACTCTTGAACAAGTTAGTATTTTTCGTTACCTTTTATTTTCACGTGTAATTGGTCGAGAATAGCAGGCAAAATATTGTTGTTTAAAATTGCATCAGTAAAGATGGCATGTACTCTCTGGACTGAAGGTTTATTATCTCCTCCTCCTCTATTCCTAGTTCTGTTTTATTTGGCATCTTACCTGTTTTGTCTTCATCGTATCTATAGTCTTCACTGAATGATGTCATGAAGTCACAGAGATTTCAAGATGCAGGTGTATCATGAAGCTTCATGACGCTGGTAGTTTTTTGCCAAATTTGTTTTGCTTTGGAGTTTGATAAAGTGTAGATTTTGTTGATTCAGTAAAAGATTTTGTAATGTATTTGCTATAATTTTTTTTTAGACACAAAAGTGAGTTAAAACTTACCAGTAGCATTGATGACAGCTGGTGGAAATGGTCAGAGTTGTCTAGGGTAAAACTCACAAAAGCTCTGTTTTTCACAGTAGTCCCAGCTTCTGGAAACAGAATTTTTTCATTTCTTGCAGGCTCCAGCAGTGGATGTTGTTGCTGTCGGCCTTGTATCTGGTCATATAATTGTACATAATATTAAGTTTGATGAAACTCTGATGAAATTTCAACAGGACTGGGGTCCCATCACAGCAATATCTTTTCGTACAGGTAAGTCCTAGTGTTTTTAGTGAAAATATGTATGAAAGCACTAAGACTAAAGAAATGGAGGAAAACAGTTAGTGATAAAACATTTCAGAATCAAATTTGTGCTGAGAGTTTCAGTTTTCAAAGGCTGAAGGTAGTCTAGAAAAGGTGAGATCATGCATTTTTGTCATGCTAGGTGTTTTATAGCATTTTCTTGTGTTTTTATTGCACAGAAAGTGATATACAGTATACTTGAAAAGAAAAGTTTGTTGACAGTGTGCCAAGAGCTGATACAGTACACAATTGTCAGAGGTATTGTAATCAGTACATCCTGCTTTAGTGTCCATACCTACTGCTCAGCAGTGTCTTCCCCCCCCCCCCAAATGTTAATAGTTGGGTGAATACTGAATGGATGTTACTGGGGAATCTTGACTTGTATTCACAGCTTTTTTTTGTCTAACAAGCATGTCCTAATTATTAGAGCTAGTTACTCTAATGTTGATCCTGCCTGCAGAGCTTGATACCGAAGCTAATCTCTCATTTGAATAATCTTGTGAATCTTAACAGAATATAGATTGAGTGCAGACCCTGTTGAGGAGGATACAGGAGAAAATTGTGGAAAGATTTGTGAGAGGTAGAAAGAGAGCCTTTTTGTGTCAATACCTATTGTGTTTTCAAGCAAATCTCTAGCTCTGATTGCTGGATTTAGAGATTTTATTGTTCTCTGATATGAAAAATAGGTATTTTTTTAATCAGTGAGTTTTGTTTCTTTTCTGATAGACATACTACAATATTTCTGTTAAAACCTATATTATTTCTAGCATCAACTTGAGATTTCTTTTTCCTTGTGATTATAGATTTGCCTAGCATCAGATTTAAGATGTGACAAGACATTAGGGATCAGCTGAATGTCAATAAGCAAACTTTTTGAACTTTTTTTTTTTTTTGAGCAGATGGACACCCTGTAATGGCAGCTGGAAGCCCAGTTGGACACATTGCTTTGTGGGATCTAGAAGAGAAGAGGCTGATGTGTCAGATGCAAGATGCCCATCCCACAGCAATAGCTGGCATGACATTTGTCCCTGGAGAGCCGCTTCTTATTACTAATGGTGCTGATAATGCTCTACGGGTGAGTTACAATCTCTGCTGCTCTCTGAAACCAATATAACAAAACTCAAGTTGCTGGTCTGAGTTGGACTGTAGTGGACTGTAGTTTAAAGATTTGCTGCTATGTTGTCATTGCTTCATTTACTGCTTTGTAGTACCCTTGAAGAACAAAGCTTTGGATCCACATTTCCAGAACCACACTTTATAGCCCAGTATGCTTTTAAATCTTGGTCCATTTTGATAATGTTTTGGATCATAAGCAGTTACTGCTGATAAAAGTCCCTTATGCTGCATGTCCTCTGATGCCACTTGGCTTTGGTGGAAGGGCAGAATGAACAGCAGGAAACAAATAAGGTGATGTGATGGAAGCTTCCAGAGTTTGAGGGTTAAGGCTGAAAGCCAGTGTGTGAAGTTGGCTGCACCAACTCCCAGAGAAACGCATTCTGCTGACAAGAGGTACAGTTATTGGCAAGGCAGTGTTTGTCAGCCTGGTTTTTTCTGCTTATTTTGGGGTGCAGGTTTGGATTTTTGATGGGCCTGGTGGTACAGGTCGTGTACTGAGAAGCCGAATGGGACATAGTGCACCACCAACAAAAATCAGATATCACGGGCAAAACGGAGAGCAGATTCTTAGTGCAGGTATGAGTTTCCATTCTTCTTCAGTCTGCTTTCTTGCTGTGTTAAAGAAAATGTGCAGAGCTAAGTGTCTTTGTTTTATTAATACACTAGATTATATTTCAAGTGTTGTATGTGTTTATGAAACATAGTAAGTGGCTAACATAAACAGCATAATTTATTACTGTAACAAAGTGTTTCACTAGAGTTTTCCTACTCTAGTAGGAAAGTAGCGTTTCCCTAGAGTAGCACATCAGCAAGCTGAAAAGTACTTGAAAGGAGAATAGCAAAGGAGCTACTCTTTTCATCCATATTTATATATTTGATGAATAAAAATGGTTTTGTTATTTTCTGAGCAGGTATTAGCTGGTCAGAATGAAACCTGTAATCAACTCAAAAAATTTGGTTGTGGCAGGGGAAAAATAAGCTGTGTAATGCATTTAGTAACTACTTTTTCGTCTAGTTTGATCAAGCTTTGTGGCTTGCACTGTCTTTGTAATATATTGCAGCATACTTGTATCTGTAATATATATTTTCAGGGTTGATTTTTACTGAGATATTAATCTAAGAGTGTGAAATTGCATAAGTGACTACCCTTCCTTAGAAACTAGCATATTTAAAAAGACCCCTTAGGTGCGGGAAGTGCTGGTGTTTTACCCTAGACCACTTAAGTGATGAGATGATAGAGACTCGTCATCTGGTCTCTAATTACTCTTAAGAAATTAATTGTCTGTATGGCCTACTTTTGAAAGCATTACACTACCTGTACTAAAATCTGTTGCTAGTCATCCAGCTAGTGACTTGCATTAATGTAATGAGTTATTGTCCGTATTTCAGCTCACACCAGACAAACCACAATCTCAAGTATTGCTTAACAAATCTTCACATTTGCTTTTTCAGTGGTGAGGGCACAAACACAACTTTTACAATGAAAAAAGACTTGACCTTTGAGATCTGATGTATCTGCAGTGCAGAGAGACTGACACTCTGCCCTCCTTTCTGAAACAGTGATCAGACTTTGTGCAGCAGAAGTGAGTTAGGGTTGCATTTCATGGGCTACTGGTTTCCTTAGAAGAGGCATCCCCTCAGATTAACTTCATAAAATTTCATTAATGTCACGAACATTACAGAGTCAGACGAATTGAACATAGAAAAGATGTCTGTGAAGAGGGGTCATTCTGATAATGTGCAGGGCAGAGTTGTAGGAATGGGATGTAGGCCACAGAAAATTAGGTTCCATTAGTTCTGCCACTTAGAGTGTATCTGTATTTATTCTTGGACCAGAATTTTTAGTAAATACCTTATTACAGTGTTTGCAGTTGCTTATTGCTTACTTTTTACTTTTCTTGCTCGAATAGCTTGTATGTAAAGTTGATTTTTGCCCTTCACTGCTCTTTGCTAATACTTTCTTAGGTCAAGATGGAACATTGCAATCTTTTTCAACTGTGCATGAAAAGTTCAATAAAAGTTTAGGACGTGGTAAGTATCTCAGTCAAAGTACAAACACAGGTGAAAAGAAGGCCAGAAAAGCATATATGTAAATGTTAGTCAGGCCTTATTTTCATTTCAGCTGTTCTATAAAACCTAATCACCTTGTCTTATTCTGCAGACTCAGTCCTTCCTGCAATAAGTGTGCTGCCGTATTTGATTATTCTTTAAAAAAGAGATTTCTGATCCTGGCAGTGTATGTTACTTCACTGTGGGAAACACTGTGAATGATTTTTGTATAACATTTTAATGTCAGCTGGCTGCACCAGCTCCCATTTCAGCATATGTAATTGCAGCTTTTTACCCTGTTTCCATTCTGTTCAATTGACTAAATTATTAGCCAGTTCTTATTTCTTGGCTTGAGTTCTTTTGATTCAGTGTACAGTTTGACTTAAGCACAACTTGCACATCATGCTGTGGTAAAGGAACACTTTCATTTGGGAGAGAAAAGATCAGAAAGATTCAAATAATTCTTAGTTTTAATTATCTGTCCATGTTGTTAGATATGTATTTGGACCTGTTTAAAAAGATGCATAAAAATGAATTTGGGCATTAATTTGAAATTCAGTGTTCTTTGGTTACTGAAAGGTCTGGGTGCTGTTTATTGCTTTATATAGTCATGTCTATAGGACCACATTTTCAGCTGTGATGGGGGAACCTTTGCCTCAGGATTTCAGCACAAGATCCTGGAACAAGTAGATTGAGTAGTGAATTCACAGCTGTGAATGTAGAAGTCTGGTGATTTGCTTAGCATTGCCTGAATTTTAACACAAACTATTAGTGTTCTTAGCTTTACAAACCTAGGGAACAGGGTTGTGTTTATTAAAGTCAAATGTTTCTAAATTTAAAAGGAGCTTTGCATTTTGTTAACAGTCCCTTTTAAACCATTACTCTCAGTTCTGACAATGAGATTAAGTCCCTTAATTTCTATTTTTAAGGTTCAATTAATAAAAAGAAATCAAAAAAGAAAGGCCTTAAGCTGGATACGATGGCACTTCCACCAATTACAGCCTTTGCTTCAGGTGAGTGGTCTTTGACATCGGTTACAAATTAAATGTGAGTATGTTATCTTCATGTATTAATTTCAGTTTTTAACCCTCAAAACACTATTGTTTTGGAAGCACATGCTATATCTAGATTATTCTGTGGTCTTTCATGAGCTACTGAGTGACAGTTAAAAATTGTGTTTGACTTGGTAAACTGTTCCAATATCTCAAAAAGAGCATTTTATGTTAAAACATCCTTATCTGGCTCTTGGCTTGAAAATCTCCTGCATGGGAACCAAAATCTACAGATATACATATTATTTCAGGTTGCAGAACCAGCAGCTAGGTGGAGGATGATCTTTGTCAGCTGAGGAAGTCTTAGTTACGCTTACAGTTGACTTTGAGTCCTCAGTACACTTATTTGAGTCATTTTTTAAAGCTGAATTTCAAGTAGTCAGTTCATTTGTAATTCAGTATGCAAATAATGATTCTAACTTCTTTAGGCAGAATTACAATTATATTTGCTTCATCAAAATGTGCTTCTTTGAATTAATGACCTCCTCTTCAGACTTGAAATCTCTTTTGTCAGAAGTGTAGGTATTCTCTCTTCTGAGGATGAGAGATGTTGAAAGATCTGGATTTACAATTTTGTGGAGCCATTTGACTTATGTGGTATTCACTGCCTGTACACTCTTGTTGCAAATATGTGTGTAAATTTTTAAGATTTATATTTAAAATTAATTAATTTTAAAATTCATATTAGAGCTGCCTGTATTTGAAGATTTAAAACTTCCACTTACTTAAATACATTGTTCTCTTTGTTCCATTAAGTGAACCAGTTTGTATCTTGTTTTAATCTTTTAAGTTCTAGAAGTACCTAGTTTAAAGCTCTCAATTTTTTTAAATTTCCAGGAAAAAATCAAACTTGCTCATTATTTAGATCTCCATATATCATATTTGACTACAAAGTTTGGATACTGAGCTTTTGATAAACAATTTTCCTGGAAACACAAAAGAAGTATTTTGCTATGTGAAGCAGATTTATTTCTTAAACCTGACATTATCTGGTGGCTTCTGCTGCTTCAACAGCTGAAGGAAAAGTTAAGGACACTCAGCTGGAAATGTACAGGATTGAGCAGTCTAAACCATTTAAACCAGTTTAAAACATTTACATTGAATTATGCATTTCCAGCTGCAGAGGTTAAAATGTGCAAAGACACAGAGCATAATGTGCAAAACAGTGCTTGAGGTTTTGTTTTAACATTATATTTACACTACACATGTACAGCTGTTTGCCCTGTGGTATTTCTGAGTGGTAGTTTTTTGAGTGTGCAACAAGAACACTAAATATGAACCGTTCTGTCTAAAGGTACTTTAAAATATCAAGAGAACTGAAGTTTGACATTGGAGTTACTGTTTCTAAAAGGACTCTGTGTTTCCCTGCAGAGGTGGCACATCAGAGTGACTGGGATGGTATTGTTGCCTGCCATCAGGGGTATATAACCTGTACAACCTGGAACTATCAGAAAACCTCCATGGGAGCTCACAAACTGAGGCCAGAAGAATTTAGCAAACACAAACCTATTGACATATATGCAACAGTAAGTCTACTTAGGATAAAATTTCTTCAGATTCACACTCTATGTATCCTATTTTGATTCCTGTTGGTACAGAAATAATGCTTGGAATGAAAAAGCACTGTGTCCAGTGAGCTGGTTTGTAACGCTGATGGCCTTAAAAAAAGCTGTTCTTTTCCCCTAAACATTCAGGTTAAAATGCACTTACTTTCTGGCTCAGAGAGGTGGTTGGTGCTTACCTTTAGTCTCTCACAATCATGTAGAGTTGTCTCTATGCCTGTGCTGATTAACTTACTCTGAGAATGAGATTGCTGAAGATTCTGAGCTTTTTTTGGCAGTACAGGGAAGTGTATTTCCAAATTGCAAGAAGGGTATTACCTCAAAAATCCCTTACAACATGAGCTGGTCACAATTGTGTTGAACACACAGTGAAGGGGGTACAAATGTTTATTGAGGTTTACCAGCTTTTTAAAGGAGGAATTGCTGTGGCACCCCACATTGGCACACCCTAGGGGTCAATGCAACTCCTATGTCTTGTGATAAATGGTTTTTTGACATTTTGCTTAGTAGATAGGTGTTAGATAAACTTAATTGTAAATATCCAGTTTTCTTTTGATTCTACTAGATTCTAGTAGAATCTGCTAGATTCTTTGGACTGTATCTTTCCAAAGAAATGTAGACTGTTGTTTCTTTGTTTCTTCCTATCGAAACTCTCTGTGACCTCACCCTAACTTGGGTGCGTATTGGTACCACGGGCATTGAAAGAGCAGTTGCCATGCTTGCCGTTTGTCTTACGGGCTGAATTTGTGGCAATCTTTATTATTTAATTTACAATGCTGATAATATTACCTATGGCTTCTTTTGGATGCCTCTAAGCTAGGATTTCATTATCTTTCACAACCATGCATTGCCATATTTATTACTTGTTGAGTATTTGTTCATTTTAAGAGCTTCTCCCTCTGCTTTCTTGATATGTAATTTATTTGTTTTGTGCAGGTTTCCCCAAATATTTACTAGTATTTTGTATTCCCAATATGCTGTGTACTTCTAGCAACTTCACTACTTGACAGACACCTGAAGAGTGATTTTCATGGGTGCTTTGTGTTGTTGATTGATTTTTTTTAATTCCCTTTAAAGGCAGTTGACATTACATCGTGTGGTAATTTTGCTGTAATTGGGATGTCAACTGGACAGGTAGATGTGTATAACATGCAGTCTGGCATTCACAGAGGGCATTATGGCAAAGAAACAGGTAAGGGCTCCTTAACTTCCCAAACACTGGCACTTAACAGAGCAGCAGTCACCTCGTGTTCTGTCATCATGAAAATTCAGTGCAGGTTCTGAGCTGAATTTGGGATGCATTTCAGTTTTTCTAGTTATGGTGCCCTGTCCTTTCTTGCAGTCAGAAACCTGACTTGAAGGACAGGATCCGTGGTAATTTTAACAGCTCTGATGTTAACATATCCTTGGTTTTATTTAAAACAAAGTTGTCAGTTACCACAATGATTAGCACTTAAATGAGATGCTCTGGCCTCCACTCTTTTTGAGATAGTCACGTTTTCAGTATTTGGCTTCTTGTTTTATAGTATTCTGTCTCCTAGATAAATGTTCCCATCTGTTTTGTGCCCCTTGCTTAGAAATGGAAGGAAAATTGAAGTCCTGAGCAAGTCCAGCTCTTTGCATATGGTGTTATTTTTAATTACCCATCTGCAAATTTAGCACATAATGTGACTGTGCCCTGACATTTCCTTTTAGAGTTGCATACATATATATTTTATGTATATTCCATATACTCTCATGCATGGTTTTTTGGCACTCGTGATCTGAATTTTTTTGTTTTAGAAACAAGGAAAGAGTCCTGCTGAGCCCTTAAGATTACTGTATTTCTAAAAGCCACCTAGCTTAGCAAACATGAAGTAGTCTCGTTGGTTGATAGTGGGATGAATTTTCTAGATTAGCTTACTGGCCAGTAGCCCTAGGTATAGATTAAGAAATAAAATTGATCCAAAACTAGAGAAGCTATGTCTTGTCTTTACACTGCCGTGTGAAGCAGCTTTGGAAAACTCCCAGTTTTTGTGCCTGAACTGAAGTTGTAAATTTTGTCTGGAGTGGTGGTTCCTCTTGGAGGCATCCCTGAAGTGATTCAAAAATCTCTCAAATTTCACAATCACAAAAACTTCCCGAAACTGAAAGCAGAAATAAGAGCTAACACTCATCTTCAATTGCACTTCTTACTTGTATTCTAGGTGTTTACTTGAAATCCATTTGGTTTGTGTAGAGATAAAAAAAAACTTAGAATGCTGGAGCATCTTGATAAGTGGCTTTCAGATTGCCGTATGCTTGCTGATCATTCATTGTAGTCAGGCAAAGATAAACAAAACAGAGTTTGGTATTCAGCTGATTTCTGTGCTAAGTTTAAATTCTGAAATAATACTCTTTTTTCTCTTGATTTGCAGCACATGAAGGGGCCATTAGAGGGGTAGCTGTGGATGGATTGAACCAGCTGGTAATCACAGCTGGTAGTGAAGGATTAATTAAATTTTGGAAATTCAAAATGAAAGATCTGGTTTATTCCACTGAACTTTCTTCTTCTCCAAGTGGAATTCTGCTGCACAGAGACAGGTAAGAAACTGAAGTTATTTCATGTGTACAGCGTTTGGTGAACATATTTCTCTAGAATGGCAACCAGTATTCTTGATTAGAATATATTAGAATTTGTTCTTCTAATGCTTTGAAATACAACTGACTAGTACACAGAGGATGACAGGACATTTTATTAGACTGAAGGAATGTAAGACTTGTTATTTTTAGGATAAAAGATACCTGGAACAATGTTAGGATGTTTTTATTTTTTGTCTCTTGAGTATTCTCTCTCATGTGTGTTGATGTTTCTCGGCAGTGGTATTCTGGGAATTGCCTTTGATGACTTCACTATTAGTGTTTTGGATATAGAAACCAGGAAGATTGTCAGGACATTCTCAGGACACCATGGACGGATTAATGACATGGTAATTGTTAACCCATTTCCTCTAACAGGTGCCATACACAGATACCTAGCAGATTTTACAGCTGGTGGATTTCTCTGCATTTATTAAATCACTGGGCTCACTCTGTGAGCAGTAAAGCTGTAGTTCAGCTTCACAGCACTTTTAGCCATCTTAGTTTGGAAATGTAAAGTGGCCAAATTGCCATCTCTTTTTTAATGTGCTTTGTGATTTAACTATAGCTTTTAACTTTAACAGCAAGCTGATTTGGGGGTCAAACAAAACAAAGCACTGAGAATAATGAAAATTGCATTGAGGAGCAAAACTGCAGAAATCTCAGCTGTGTATATAAAAAAGATGAGCAAACTGAAAACATCTGAGATAATGCAGCACATGGATAATTCCTTATTTACATCTTATGTAATAGTTCATTGTACTGTTAACTGAAATAGTTTTTAGCTTCTAATTTATTTATAAATGCCACTAAAATAGTATTTACTTGACTTACTCAACTTTATGCTTAGAAGTAGGTTTCTACCATGAACATAAAAGGGAGGACTGAAGTACTGTGGCTAACAGTGAGATACACCTTGTGTTTTATGTTTGAGCCTGTTCTTAAAAAGCTTCTGGTTTTGTTCTTTCTTCACTTCCAGCAGTGTTACTGTCAGTTTTGCCTTTTGGCTGTACCATTTCACCTGGGTTTTAGGGACCAGTCTTATCTTGGCAGGGCCTCCTGTGGGGACTGGCTTATTGGTTGTGCCATTAAATTGACTATTTTATTGTAGACTTTCAGTCCTGATGGTCGTTGGCTGATAACTTCATCAATGGACTGTTCCATTAAGACTTGGGACCTTCCCTCTGGATGGTGAGTAAATTTTAAAACATACAGCACAAGAAATAATCCCCTTTCTGATAAATGGCAGAAAGCTTTCTGGCTTGATTATCTATCACCAGATGTGACAGTTGAAGTTGCACATGGTAAAACAATTCTGCCCACTATTTTAATTGTATTCAGTGCTAGCAATGCATGTATTTTTCTGGGTCTACAGAATAACACTGTTGTGAAGATCTGTTGATGACACCTGGAGTTTCCATGTACTGTGAATTAATGTGAATTTGTTCTTTGTCTGGAAGCAGCACTGTAATCAAAAGGGCAAGAGACTGCTTAAGGTGAATTGTGATGTGCTGAAGTGTTGACAGGATCAAAGAGTGGTTGGAGTTAGAAGCAAAGATCCAGTCCAACTATCTTGATATGGAAAGGAACTTTTCTCACTGGATCAGGTTACTCAGTGCCCCAGCTTAGCCTTGAGCACCTCCAGGGCTGGGACCTGCACTGCTTGTTTATGCAACCTGTTCCAGTGCTCAACCACCCTCATCGTAAGAAAATTCTGCCCTGCATCCCATCTAAACCCATGGCCTTTCAGTTCAAAGCTGCTGCCCCTTGTTCTGTCACCACAGGCCTTGTTAAAAAGTCTCTGTGCCTTCCTTGTAAGCTCCCTTTAATATTGAGAGGCCACAAGGTTGTCTCCCCCAGAGCCTTCTGTTCTCCAGGGTGAAGAACCCCACAGCTCTCTCATTTTCCTGATAGGAAATGTGTTCCAGGCCTTGAGTCATTTTCCTGGAGCTGCTCTAAGTTCATGTGTCTTGTGCTGGGGGCCCCAGAGTTGGATGCAGTCAGTACTCCAGTTGGTTTTGTAAAGAGAAGCCTGTTTTCACTTACATTCATTTTAACAACACAACATGGCTTTACATCAGTTATATTTTTCATTTGTTTGTACTTGCAACTGCCAAAAATACTCTCTTGTGACCCACCATGAGTAGTCTTCTCCCAGAATAAAGTTTGGCTGAGAAGTAGGCAAGTACACACAAGAAGTTCAGGGGCCCAGAAAAAAACAGGCTGAGAAATAACTTTGCGTTCTGCCAGTGCATTCTTTCAGCAGCATATCAGATAGTTTTTTTTAATTTAAGGTAGTGCTGTGCAGTGTGCAGCTCTGGTGGTTGTGCCTGGAGCTGAAAGGTTTCCGTTTGATTGATTAGTTTTGTTGACATGGTTTGGTAAATAATTTTGTATACTAATAGTTTTGTAAAAGTTCTCATTTTACTCCCAGAAGTGCATTGCATCTCAACAAACAATTGGCCTGTTCTTGCATGATGAGAGCCACTAAAATAGTCTAAAATAGGACAGGATGGATATCATGTGCCTTCTTCCTATGGATGGGAAGGAAATTAGCACTCTGGTCTTCATCTTTCTAACACTCTTTCCCTTGCAAAGTAATATGCCTACAAAAAATTGCAGCACTAACTAATATCAGTTTCCTCTGGTTTTCATTTCTTCAATAACCTAATACTTTACAATAAGAATCTATTTATAATGTTTTTAAAAGCAGTCTGACAGTAGTTGTCTTTTACATGTAAAAAAAAATGAAATATTTTGTCTCTTATCTCTAAAATTCAGGTCAAGCTGAAATCCAGGCAGGTAAATGACAAATCCTGGTTTTAATAGTAATTAGGTTAAATTATTAATTGTAATTAGGTTAAATTATTTCCAGTGTGTAAAGGCAAGGCTTTCTCATAACTATAGGCAGAGGAGTGTATTGAAAAGGAGGAACAACTTTTAATAAATGGCTTGATGCTTGCTTTACCTCTGTGATTCATAAGTAGAGAAAGCATCTCATGAACTGTGTATTCTAAAGCCTCAGCTTTGATATTGTTTTTACAAAAATATGAAGAACATGTTTCTAGAATCCAACATTACAAAAATTACCAACTGACTTTAATAATGGTCTGACATCTATTAACTGGACATCTGTTTTTGCTTGGGAGTGGTGCTTAGCTGTCCATATGTAATGCAGTGCAGGTCTTCCTAGTGCATGTTTTTAATGTAGGGCTTTTTTAAAAGTGGGAAAAAATGATAACTTTGTGTACAGAAAGTTACAAACAGGAACCCAGGCATTGTGCATATATTTCTTTCTGCTGTGCAGCTTGCACAGACAAATTGGGGAGTCAGGGTTATGAGCTGACTGTTCATGGATGAAGCAGTTGAGAAAAAACAGCTCAGGAGACCTGTTAAATGTGGGCCCAACATTATGCTTTCCACTGTCACAGTTTTGCAGTTAGGCAGGAAGCATAAAGGGAGATGCCTTCAGCCCCAAGGCAGGATTCATTTAGCTTTTTGTGTAAAAAATACAAGTGTATCTTATTTCCTGTAGTAGATGGATCGCTCCTTCCCACAAGCCAGTAATTTTAATCAGGATTTAAGTTCAGTAAGTAGAAAAACTTAATTTCTCCTTAAATTTGTTTTGAGCTCTTTCTGGTTGATTTATTGAATAGAATTTCTCAGTTACAGGCAAGGATTGTCATAAAAAGATGGATTTGAAACTAAGAGAAAGTATCTAGGGTAAATTTTTTCTTGCCTTTGTGCACTGTGTACAAAATGTATGTGATACAAGTTTGGGATTTATGGGTTTAGTATTTATATATTTTATATTGAAAGTGATGAATGATTTTTCTCTTACCTGAGATTTGCAGCATCTCTTTAAGAAAATGCATCGGGAATACAACACTCCAGAGGAAAACTCTGGGGGAAAAAGGCTTTTACTTTCAACATACTCTCTCAAGCCATCACAGGAGTGCTCAGTAGCTAAAAAAATACATGCCTACAAGATTTTACATTTTAAAGTTCTGTGTTACATCAATATTTTTTCTATGGTTAGTGAACAGAACAGGGCTGTAGAGCTGTACACAAGAACAAGGTATTCACACTCTTTGTTTATTCTTTTTATTTCTCTTGGTGAACTGGTTGTCAAGTTAAACTTGAACTTTAACTTAAAATTTAAAGTAACTGAAATTTGTATTTCAGCAAGAGACAAGCAATGCTGTCAACCTGGGCTTGAGTGGAAGTCTGCTAGAGAGTGCATCATCCAGAACTTAAATGTCTCATTGTTAAAATAGTTGCATAATAACATGTTACTATAATGTTATTATAGTTGTATTTTAACTTTGTTTTTACATGGTGTTTTTTCAATTTTCCGCAATCATGAAATGAATGATTAAGAAATGGTTTATCAGGCTGAAGATATAGTAATGCCAAAACTGATGCAGATAATCAAACTTCACATTGTGCAGTTCATATTTTATTTTAGAAACATTATCATTAGCATTAACTAGGTGTACATGGAGTGTGCTGAGAACAGGAATTGTCAGTCTGAGTAACTGGGGCTAAATGGAAATACAGAATTTATGGCCAGTAAAAATTTTGTGTTAGGCATAAGGAGTTGACTGCTTCATCACATATTCTCCAGGTGTAGATGTCTAAGGAGGCACCCGCTTTATCTGACTTTGAAGCATTTTGTAGAGACTTTGTTGCACAGTGCTGTTCACTTGCTTTGTGTATATAATATATTTGGATTTGTGTGCAGATAAACAAGTTTATTTTGCTGATAATTTCTCTGGTTTTTTTTCTCCATAGTCTCATAGATTGTTTTTTGGTAGACTCTGCAGCTGTGAGCCTTACTATGTCCCCTACAGGAGATTTTCTGGCTTCAGCACATGTGGATGATCTTGGAATTTATTTGTGGTGAGTATGTAATCTGTTTCTACTTAGACTTTAGGATGGGACAGAGTTCTTTTAATCACCTTTATTGCAAATAGAGAATTACCCTGTGAAGTATCATCTCCAGTGTTTTGTGTTCTATGGTTCTGATTAGGACAGATGTTCTGTATTGCTCTGATTCCTAAGTCATGAAATTTCCACAGTTAAATTACTTATTCAGAGAGTATAAACTGTCTCTTTTTTTCTAAAGGTTTCTTACTCTTAAGGGTTCCTGTTATGCCATTTGTAAAGTTTCCCTAGACCCCATTTCCCCCACTGCTTTGAAATGTCTTTGTTCAGATAGTGCTTCCTTCTGAAGTGCTTTTCTTGTCCTGCTGTCTGAGACTTCTGGGCAGTATATGAAAGTTGTGATTATTTTTCTTTATTAGTGATAAATGAGCACAGAAGTAAAATGTGGTTTTGTTCAGTTTCCTCCAGATACAGCTTTAAAGCAAATGACTGTTCAGGTCCAATACTGAAGTGACACACTGTTAAAATGGCTTGGGTCTTTTTTCCATTTAGCTGACAGATTATTTCAGGTCATATATGTTTGCTGTAGTTTTGTGTGAGGAGTGTTCAGTTGTTAGGCCTTCCTGTGGTAAGTAAAAGTGCTTCCTTGTGAATAACAGCAGATGTTTTTACCTAGCCCTAGTTTATATTGACAAAAGAAGCAATTTGCCAGAATTTTTTGTGTGCGTCTTTCAAACCTGAAGAAAATTTGATAAGAGTATTACCCTAAAATCCTGTGAAAGCAGGATGAATAATTTGTATTTGCATAATGTGTTCAGCCTGGAGAAGATCTCTCTGGGAGACCTCAGAGCCCCTTCTAGTGCCTAAGGGAGCTCCAGGAGAGCTGGAGAGGGGCTTTGGACAAAGGCCTAGAGTGACAGGAAAAGGGGGAATGGCTTCAAACTGAGGAAGGTAGATTTAGATCACACATTGTAAAGAAATGCTTGATTGTGAGGGTGGTGGAACACAGGCACAGGTAAATATTCTTTTTGGCCATCAGGACCAGGGCAGTTATTGCCCCTCTCCTGGGTGCTGGTGAGGTCACACTTCAAATTCTGTGCTTAGCTCTGGGCCCCTCACTTCAATAAGAACATTGAGATCCTGCAGCCTATTATTATGGTCTTGGCAATAATACTTGAACATAACACTTATATTTCAGATGTTCAGGTGAGTCTATTGCCACACTTCATTTCCTGCTTATCTGGTAGATGAGGAGAGCTAATCTTGAATAGAGCCTGGTGAATTGCCATGCTGCAGCAGTATTAGACTGCAATATAAATTATGTCTGAAGTACTTGTTCCCATTCATCTGGAGATGGCTTTTAAAATGCCTGACTTATTTTTTTCAGGTCAAACCGTTCTCTGTATTCACTTGTGTCATTACGGCCCCTTCCTGCAGATTATGAACCATCTTTGGTGACACTCCCCAGCACCTGCCCCATGCAAGGTAACCCTCAGATGAAAGTGTGTTTTGTTTTTCCCTTGCAGTTTGCTCCCCTGCTTGTATGCCACAGATTCATTGTGGATATCTTGTTGGCAAGAGCATTGGACTCAGCTTAGCTGGCCTGTGCCTGTGCCCAGTGAAAGAAAGGCCTAAGTGGAATTTTTTGCAAAATTAATGGAAGCGATTGTGTATCAGAAGTCCTCTAGATGGAGATCTTGTCTGCCCAAGTTTGAAATGCCTGCATTTGCATCTCCATCTGGAGGAGAAGCACACCTAGCTGTTGGCCGCTAGAGCACGCCTCGTGGTGATGGCTGCTGTAGCAAGCACATACCTGCTCCACATACTGAAACTGGGGAGACAGGAATTCATCCCAGAACTTTGAATATTTTTGTCCTGATTCCAGCTTTAATCCACTTTGTGTCTTCAGCAAGTGTAAAGTTCCTGCTTGGATGCTAAGGGCTCTTAATGGGTTACATTCCTTTCTTGTTTCAGGCTTGTCTATTAGATTCATTGTTTTAGCCAAGTAATATTTGACAAAAAGAAAGGAAAGCAGACCTGTTTGGTCAAGATCACACAGGAAATTAAGAGAAAATCAAGTGACTGATACTATAACTTACCTTGTGGGACATTGTGCATTAATGTTGAGATTTTCTTCATTTTTCTGTGCCACTCCAGTCATACCTATGAAGAGGTTGTGATGAGGTAGTGAATATGGTGCAAGGATCTAAATGCAAGGACTTCACAGCTTTATAATGTAGAATTAAAATTACTGTGTATATATTTATTCAGAAAGAGCAACAGATTACTGTCAAAATTTTGTTTTCTTTAAATCTGTAAACTGCTTTTATATAACTTCAATCAAAGGGGACAAATCTTATCAGTCATTAGAAATTTGTTTATTAAATTCTACATCTTAGCTATAATATTTTAAAATTATTTAATATTTCATAAGGCTAATGCAGATTGGTTCTGTAGCTTTTTAGCTCAGTGTTATGTTAGCACCTATGTGTATAACTATTATGCATTTGTTATTCAAAAATAAGTGAAAGTGTTTGGCTTGACTTTTTAAAAAATGAATGGGGAATATGAATGTTCATAAAAGATATCTGTTTCTGCAAGATGTGGATGTGTCAGGAGATGAAGAGCCATGTGATGAAATGATAGAATATGTCTCGCCTGAGCAACTGGGAGAGCAGCTGGTGACCCTTTCCTTGTTACCAGAATCAAGGTGGAAAAATCTCCTCAGCCTTGATATTATCAAGGTACTGAAACTGTGCAAAAAGCAACATACATCCATGTATTTGCCCTATTTCTAAGAAATGCATGAAAATTGATCCTGCTTTTCGAGTGTTTTTCAAGATTTTGCATTAGAAGTCTATGTGGTGCTTTTCAGTTCCTGGGATTTGGGACAGGGGTTGTTTTTCTGCTAAATAATGATTTAAATAATAGTATCTTCATAATTAGTGGTAAAGAATTTTACTTGTATATTTACTTTTCAGTTAATCTTTAGAGTTTTCACAGTATTTTAAAAAGGAAACTTCACAAACAAAATATTCCCACATGCTCTTACTATAATGATAATTATTTTAATTCAAATATCTAATTAACAGAAAAAAAATAAACCGAGAGAGCCACCAAAAGTTCCAAAATCAGCACCTTTCTTCATCCCAACACTTCCTGGTCTTATACCCCGATACATTCCACCAGAGGAGGAAAATGATACACAGGTAAAAACAAGAATCAATGTAATTGTATTTATATAGTGTATTTTAAAAGAAATCTCAAATGCTTTTTAATGTTGGGTTAAATCACTAGATTTTAAAGAAGCAGTTTTAACTCACTGTATTACTGCTTTATTTCTCAAAGTCTTATTCTTTCAGTAGAAAAATAATGTGATTGAGTTGTAAAAATGTGTTTGCATATTCATGGACACACTGCTGTGCTTTTGTGGTCTAGTCAAAGGTGGTAAACCTTGGGATGCTGGCGCAGAAATCTGATTTCTGCATTCATCTTGAAGAAGCCCTGAGCACCAATGAATGTAAGTTAATGAAATATTTCACTAAAAATGTTGATGCTGCTTTTATTTTGATACATATGTGATTTTTAATGTCAGAATTGTAACAGATGTGAGGAAAAAATACTCATAGTACAGTATAATACCTAATACACAGATAGTCACACTAGAACAAAAATCCATTGGTACTGCAGCTTGTAGCATGGAACCCAATTCTGGCTAAAACCCTTATGGAGAAAGAAGACTGGGTTCCTTTTTCATTAACCTTTTTTGAAAACTGATTATACCACCCAGACAAGGTGCCATGCATTATTTCTGGGAAAAGGAAGGAAAGAAGGAAGGTATTGATTTGGAATAGACCTATTTGAAAAGGAATAGTCTGGTGATTCACTGAAACATAAAAAGCATAGTGTGCCTAACAAGTTCTACTTTCAAGGGTTACTTCACCAGGCAGTGAACTTACAGTGTTAATTCATTGTCCTATAATTTAAAGCTTAAGAAGAAATAAATTATACAAAAATAAAGTGTTGGATTTCTTTGAACATTCAGTTTATTTTGAAATTTAATCACTTAAACTACCAGTGGAATGCACCAGCTGTTTTTTATGTTTATCCTGTGATGCTACAGAATCATGAAGCAGATTTTTTAAAATTATGCTAATATAGCTGACTTGGGAATGTAAATGGACAGTAGCTTGTCCACAAGCAGTTCTGTGGGGAATTCTTTACCCCTGCTTAAACTCTCTTGAGATGACCAGCTTACTCAAGCAACTTAAAACGTTTTGTGTGCAGAACTTCATTATCTGTCACAAACAAGGTGTGTTCTTCTGCCTCACTTGTAGTACTTCAATTGACAGCGTTCTATTGAAGTGCCCCAGAGCCACTCAGAAGAGGTGAATGTTTAAAAGCCTCGTGGAGCTGGCTCTGCCAGTGAGCAAGTGCACTCTGGTGTGCTTGGACACGTGGGCCGGCCTCAGGCCACGGCTGCTGCAGGGCCCCGGGTCTGTGCCAGAGCCAGGGAGCCTGGTGATCCTGGCTGCTGATGGGGAGCATGGCTCTCTGCGGGCTGGATTACAGCCACCTCTTCTCAACATGCCTGGGCCATGCAAATAAAAGGAATCCTGCTCGAAACCATCCTGGTTTACTGTAGGGGTGGAAACAGGGCTTGGCACCTCAGGTCAGGTGTGAAGATTGAGCTGCCCAGATTGAGCTGCAGCCTTTTCCATGTTGTACGTGTATCAACCTCACAACGTGTTCCATGCTTTTTGTTTAATGTCATAAAAAAAAGCTATTTAATGCATCTGTTTAGTACTGTTAAAATCTGTTATATTCAAAACTAGCTAATGATGGTTTTAGGAATCAAATATTGACTATATACTACCTGAGGAATATTAACCAATGCCTAATGCCATTAGTTACCATAAAGTTGGTCTTCTTAGCAACTTCTTAGCAAAAGAAGTATTAATCACATACGTTTTAAAAATGTTATAACTATCAGTTGCATTTTTGCAACCAAACATATTTTTGCTGCTTCCTTTTTAAAAGAAATAGATGAAATCCTCATAGGTCATCAGGTAGGACAGTATAAGTCCTGAGAAGGAGCAATTATGAAGAGGAAGAAAGTTTGTAAATTGCATATATTTCTGCTGTGAAAAAGATTTTCCTGTAATACCCTCCAGGCATTCACTTAACAAAAGTAATAATTTGTTAGATGCAGCCAAAGGTCTCTAGTTTTGCTTATTGCCTAGTAAAAGTAGTGTTCTCCATCTTTCAGAGTATATTCACAGTTAACAGCTCAAAATATCAAGTATGTACATTCTTTCTGCCAAGAGATGTTAAATGACAATGTTATGTGGTTAATTAGAAATTTTGTTTAACTTAGAAGACAGAAGAGGGGAAAAATTGAAACAAATGCAAAGATGTTACTTATATTTTTCAATTACAAATAAAGTGCATCTGTACTTTTAGTATGTGTTGGGACAGTAAATTAAAGACAGGGAGACATTTTGTTGAAAACAAAAAAGTAAGGAAACAGTAAAAACTTGAAATTCATAGTCACTACTTAAGAATTTTAGAATAAGCTTGTCTTGTGAAGGATCTGTGAGATTCTGTTTTGCAAATGTTACTGATAATGTGTCCTCTAATATTCTAACACAGATAAAGCTCCCCTTGACTTACTGAAAAGCTTGGGACCATCTAACATTGAGGTGGAGCTGCGGGGTTTGGCCCCTGAAGGTGGGGGCTCTATGGAGGTGATGCTGAGCTTTCTGAGAATGATTGGGGTGATGCTGAACAAGAAGCACAACTTCGAACTCGCTCAGGCGTACCTGGCACTATTTTTAAAGGTAAAATTTTTCTTACTAAATTTATGTTAGTCCTATTAAAAATAACGGTTATACTAAAAAGGTATAAATTGTGTGTTAGAATTATCTGAAGTGATTTTGGTTGAGAATGGTTTTAAAATGTCTAACTGAATGTATTGGATGATGTGGCAGCTCATTTGGTGACAATCAAGAAAAACTTGCAAAACAAAAGATGTTGTGAAGAAGGCCCTGCCAGACAGGTTTTGTTCTTGTATTCCTTACTTAGAATTGTTTTTGTTTTTGTTTTTTTGTAACATTCCTAACTTCTTAGTGGTTGTTAATTGTTAAGCTAAGGTATGCTATGTCTTAAATAAGCAAAGAATTTAATACACAATGGTTGGGAAATAAATTAGACATTTTGTTGGATTTATCACTAGACTTTGTAAGCCTGACCTACTTTCCGTGGCAGTGGGCTGCCTTTCTTGTGTTACCTGTTGAGTATCGCAGAGCTAATGAAATTATCCCAGGGTGTGTGTAAGTTAGTTACTCTACTGAAGCACAGTAACAGTTACTCTTAGACACAAAGTGGTTCGGGAGAAGATTGAAATGAAACCCTTCTGATGCACAAGTGTTTTAGGTACTCTGATTTATGAAATAATGTGAAAGCACTTAATAACAGCTTACTTGGAAAACACTGTTATAGACATTCAGACACATGTAATACCTGGGCATCCGCAGCTTCTCTGGGTGATGGGTTCCAGTGCCTCACCACATTCACAGTAAAGAATTTTGTCTATTATCCAGACTGAACCAACTGTCTTTCAAATTAAAGCTCTGTCAAGGCTCCTAGATATTTAAATTGTAGCCTGGAAAATAAATATTCCATCCATTAAGTGGTAATAATTGCAGCAAGTTCAGAAGGTTTCTCTTGTTTCTCTTTTAACAAGGTTGCTGTTTGTCACATAAGGAGACCTCATCCATCTCTATCACTATAGTGTGTGCTGACATCATTCTTCTTGATGTGTGCAACATGGATAATTAAAATAATAATCCTGATTGACCTTCGCACATCTGTCTAGCCTTTCTAGACTAAAGAGGAATTTGTGATGCAGGTCAGAAAGTGGAGAAAGTTACCCTCTAGGGAACTGTGTGATGGGAATAGATTCAGCAGCCTTGCCAGAAGAGGATTTAGTAAAAATATAGCATATTTAAGACACTTTGCTGCCTTATCCCATCTAGAACATGAAAAATGGCTTGTAAAGACTAGCAAAAGGGGAGCAGTATTGAATAGAGGAAATTAGTTGAAAGAAAAGAGTCATTTCCCTATTTGGGACATTTTCTGAAAGCAAACTATTGGAATTGGATGGGGAAAACAGTCTTTTAATTTTTTAATCTGTGTTTGTTTCACTAACTGCTTGTTTTCATTTTCAGTTACATCTTAAGATTCTCTCATCGGAGCCAAAACTCTTGGAAGAAATATCCAAATTGTCAATGCAACTTGAGGAAACTTGGGTTCACTTACAGGGTCTCTTCAATCAGAGTCTGTGTGTTTTAACATACATGAAAAGTGCTTTGCTGTAAAATACTTCAGGGTTTTGTCTGCATAAGATTTCCCTCAGAGGAATAGTACAATTTATACTGAAAAATACTGGATTCCAAAAATCATGCTGGGTCTTGGAATTGTAGAATCATTAAGGCTGGAAAAGACCTCCAAGACCATCAGATCCATCGTTCTGCTGGATACCACCCTGTTCACTAAGCCATATCACTAAGTGCCAGACTGCTCATTTTTTGAACACTTCCAGGATGGTGATCCCACCATCCTGTTCCAGTGCTTCTTCTGGTGCTGTATTTTATACACCTACATATGGCAGAGTATTTTAGAACGTGCACAACTGCCTATTTTTGTTCACTTCAGTTGGAGAAAAAATTGCTATGTGCAGCTAAAATGTTTGTTGTGTTGGTCTGTGCTGAGAGACATTTGGATTCAAGGCCCTGAGCAGCCTGGCCTTGTGGAAGGTGCCCCTGCTCATGGCAGGGGGTTGAAAGTAGTTAATCTTTAAAGTTTCTTCCAACCCAAGCCATTCAATGATTCTCTGATTCTATGGCTACATAAAACGTAGTTTACCATGAAGAAATGATTTGCGGGAAAAAAAAGAAATGGGAATGTAACTTCTGTGCAAGAGACCAAAAACTATATTTTTCTTAATAAAGTCACTGTTGATGCAAAAATAAAACAAAAAGTCTGAATTGTTAACACTTTATAAACAATAATTTAAAGCAAATTAATCTAAAAATTGTGTTTCTCTGCAATTAGAGCACTTTTGTTAGAGTGGTTGTAAAAATAAGTTGCCTTCTCACTTTTGCAGACATTTATTTCTGAAGGCAAAGATTTCCAGCTATACTAGCAATAATAGAACTTAAAAAAAACCCTAAAAACCCAAGCACCTAACTAAACAAACAAAACCAGATTTTTGGGAGGTCCAGTTTCATATGAAAATAATTTCTTAAGGAAAAGGAGAAAAGGTTACTAGAAAAAAAATTGTTTTGAGATATTTTTAATTAAATCAGATGGGTTTTTTTACAAATTGATATTTAGGTTTCAAACCATAATGTTTGGGCATTGTTTGGGACCTCATGAGTGAAACTATCTTGAACTTGGCTGCTTGAGAGTACTTCCTCCCAGCAGAAGAATCTCCTGAGCAAGGCCTTTGCTGTATTTCACATGCTCAATCTATGTACACAGACCAACAGAGTAACTAATACACATATATGCAATTTCAATGAGTAAACTTGAAAGGTGGTTCGTTGCATTTGATAAAAGACTGAAGCAATAGTGTGGGCCAGTTGTAGTGTATAGCTGTTTGGTTTTTTTTAATGCCATCACGTTAAACCCCTTTTAGTCATGTGTACTGGAACAAATTATCTGCAGACATAAAATCATACAACAATAGAAGGGCTTGGCTTGAAAGGGACCTTAAAGGTCATCCGCTTGCAGCCCCCTGCCATGGGCAGGAACACCTTTCACTAGACCAGGTTGCTCAGGGCCCCTTCCAGCCTGACTGGACACTTTTAGGGATGGGGCATCCACAGCTTCTCTTGGCATGATGTCTCACCATAGTCACAGGGAAAAATTCCCTGTTCATGTCCAATTTGAACCTACTGTCCTTGAGTCTAGAGCTATCATGTACACACAAGGTTTCTACAAGGTTTGCTACTGAGATTTAAGAAAATCCTTTGTAGCACAGAATTATTGGTTTCTGGTGGTGTGGTTCTTGGCAACCCATTGCTCCCAATTTATTGGATTGATCTGAAGTTGTCCAAAATACCTTAAATGTCAGTGTAATGAACATCTCAGCTTGCAGATGTTACTGTAACTCCTGTAGAAGATCTTAGAGAATAATTTTCTGAATAAAGACACTGTGTTCAAAGGTTGATAAGGCGGTATTTGCGGACCTGCCTCTGTGGGAGAAGGAAGCATGGATAAAGAACTTTCATGTTGGATCAGAGGAAGGGTCTGTCAAGCCCATTGTTCTGTCTCCAGCTGGAGGAAGGAAGATTTGTGGTATAGCAGCCTGGTTGTGTATAAAGTGATTGTTTCTCAAGCATATCACAGCACCTTTCAGCAGACAGCAATTAGATCTCTGTGACCCAGCTGTAGCCTGACAGTTGTGTTTAATGTTCTGTGGCAGACCTTTTGTTCTCTGTGAGTTCATCTAATCTCTTTTAGAGCCCATTTATCCTTCACAACATCCTGTAGTAATGGGGCCTACAATTTAATTAACGGGAATAATGTATTTCTGTTTATATACTCCAGACCTGCTATCTTCTAACGTTGTATGTCTCTCCTTGAATGTGAGAAATATCAGCTGTGCTCTAGTCTTCATGCTTCCCAGACTTTGCCTCAGAGCAGTGGTGAAAGGGTTTCTGCTCATGATGGACATACTTTATTTTGCTGAGTGCATGTCTGCGTTTTCACTGACATCCAAGAACCCTTTCTGGGCACAGATGTTTAAATCTGTATGTACAAGATTTGTCTACAAAACCTGTAAGGATTGTAGAGTAGGGGTTTTTTTTTGCCCTTCCATTTTCATGGTCTGCTTGATGTAGTCATAAGAAAAAAACTCTGCCAAACAGGCTTTATTATTAGAACAGAAACATCAGGATAATTTTTGTGAGCTATGTATGTATAACACAGTTGACATGATGTTTGCAGTCCTGTATGACCTCATTAAATGTGTTTAATACAGTTTCTTCTATACCTACCTGTTTGAAGTCCATGTGGAGCACTTCAATAACTTCCTTCTTTATTCTTGTCTTTTTCTCAACATGTCTACTCATCACTGCTATTTCAGGGGTGTTTTACTATTATTAGAGCTGTAGAGTCTTCCACCAGTAGTTCTGATTGCTTCACGTTCTTGGTCTTTTATTTTGTCCTTTTTACCCCACATCAAAATGATAAACAAGTTGCTGTTAATAAAAAACTTCTTCAGAAATAAAAAGTAATTTCCTCCTGTCAGTGGATGAAAGTAGATGTTTCACCTGCTATTTCCTGTATTATTCCTTCACCTGAGGCATAAAGGACAGTGTTTTATGATATTAGTGAAAAATTGTTGATTACAAGTGGTAATACGCATGGAAGCTGAATTTGCTAATTTGGGCTTTCTTGCCCATAAGAACTCACACTAGCATGGTGCTTTTGTAATGGCATATGCAATGGGATGTGGAGAAATGCTAGGTGGATGAAGGGATATTCATGTTAACTCTAGGTTCTCTTCCAAGCAGGGCAGCTACTGTGGATTTTACCATTCTTACACAATCCAAGCCCATCTTAAGCTGGCTCTGAGTAGCAGCTTGCTGTTGAAATTCTCTGTGTTATGTGTGTGACACAGCACTCCTTCCAGCTTCCTCTCAAGCCTGTCCCCACCTCTGTTCCTGTGCTTTCCTTTTCACCATGATTTTCTCAGCTCTTGGTTCCTGAGTGCAGCTGCTGCTCTTAGCAACTCCTGCACATAGCAGTCCTGTCAAGTTAGGTTCTCTGTACTTCCACTCTTTTCTTTTGACTGTTATTTTTTCCAGACACATTTGGTATTCTTGGTTCTTTTGAGACTGGTAGCTGGACCTTGCTGCCTGAATTTGCTACTGGGTGGATTCAGATGCTGCACAGTGAATGTTGTTTTTCTCTGAACCATAAGAAGCCTTCAATGTTAGTAGTCTTTGTTTTCCTTTTTCATTCAAGTAAAAATAGAGGTTTTATGAGGCATGCAAACATGAAGAGACAGTAGGATACCAATGTTTACATTGGCTACATTGTTCAGTAGCCAACCTATACCTCTGACTTGAAGCACTCCAACATTTTGTACATTTCAAATTTAACTCTTTACTTCAAGAAAAATATAAGATCTATCTGTGCAAGTTGTCATAACTGCAAGTCCTAGAGTAAGGACCCTGGAAGATACTCATTTGCATTCTGTGAATTAGAAAAGGCAGGGTGTTTGTTGACATATTTGAACTCTGTTAATGTGCTCTGTTTTAAACTCCTGTGAAGGAGTTCAGCGTTGTTCAAGTATCACTATTATGTAAGTAGTTTACTTTGTTGTCTGTTGGCTTCAGCCTGTTGTCTGATGTTTCCTGAGTATCACATGTTAATCTTCCCAGCACATCACCATTTGTATCTTAAGAGCTATTGTTTTATGAAAAATTATCTCTTAATAAAAGTCATTTACCTTTTTAGAGATGAGGAATCCAATCAGTGTCTTATTTGATGCCAGTGCAAGGACTGGCATCCTTTACTTTTTGATGTGTTTACAATGTATGTTAGAGGAGACCAAAATGCTGTCATTACATGTCCTTAACCCCTGTGCTTTTCTTTTTGTGAAGCAGTGGTGAATTGAGGAAAGCAAAATGAAAGATAAAATAACCAAGATTTTTTACCCTGGCTGTTATGTCTTCTACTGTATGATTCTGTGTTCCCCAGAAGGATTAAATGAGATCTCTGATGCTTGTTGCACATCACAAAGCTTTGCTGTTTAGCAGCAGTCTCTGAAAAATTACTTTCCTCCACTGATGTGTGCACTGCTAGTTTGTGAAACAGCTTATGTGGCTAAGTGGAATTGCATACTGCTTCCCTGACTATCCAGTGTGTTAAAAGATGTGCGGGCTCTATGACTATTAGATTATGTGTTTTAAGGGTCCTCACACTGAAGGATCAGATCACCTTGGTGTTTTGTAGTTACCTGAAATCACCCACAGAATAAGTCAGAATAAGGTAGAATAAAATACTTGCGGAATCCTCACTCAGTTGCTATTTTTGTAGAGACAGGAAATAAAAAGAAGACTCACCTACTGAACTTAAGTCCAGAGGGTTCCTTCACCTTTTTTGTTAGCCTGCAGCCAAGCTGATATTTGCCTTACAGCTACACAGCTGAAGATCTATCACTTACTGTTTCTGAAGTTGCCCAATATTGGTCTCAGAATGAGACATGAATTTTGCAACTCATCTCATCCATTAGCACTCCAAACACTTTTTGACCATTGTTCAGATTCATATGCCTCAAAAGGGTTTTGGAAGTATAGCTCACTGAAAAACATAGCCATGACATTCATTTCTTACAACCAGTGATGTTCCTGCTGCTCTGGAACTGTTCCATCTGTTTGGCGCAGCTGGAACTGAAAAGTCACCAGCCTGTTGTAATGCAACATGTCTCTTCCTGTCCTGTGGAGGAAAGGTTAAAGCCCAGGTAAAAAATATGTTTTCAGACTGTGTCAGCTTACATATTTTGTTGAACATCAGGTTTGTTCACACAGGGTTGTGCAGCTGGTTGTTCTTATTTGTGATTAACCTTTGTGTTTGCCCATTGGTTATGGTTGATGAAAGGGTGAGGGATGAACTGCCCAGTTCTCTTTGAAGAATTACATTTCAACAGAATCAAGACAAATGTAAGCTATTTCAGCAGTGCTTACATCAGTGCTTAATTGAGATGGTTTATTCATGGTGCTAGAGTAAACAGCACCATCTGTACAGAAATCCCTGCAGCTCCCTTTGTGTTGGTGGGTGAGGATGACAACCCACTGGTGCATATGGAAAGGGCAGAAATACTTGATACTTGTTTTTTTCGTTCAGTCTCCACAGGCAAAGCCTGCTTCCGTTTTCAGTGTGTACCAGCATCCTCTCGGCAGGAATTGCCAGCAATTGAGTTTGAAACTTTAGAGTGCAGAGCTCTGAAGTCACCTCATAACCAAGGTTATGCAGGACTCGTGCACACATGCTGTGACAGCATTGGCATCAAGGAAGTCCCTGACAACTGGGTTGAGGCTGTTTTGCCCATTTTTAATAGAGGTGAAGTGCAGGATGGGGGGACCTGTTGGCTCATCTAACTTCCCTCATTCTCCCGAAGAATCACGGAGCACGTGCTGCATGTGCCTTTGGAATCCATCTCTAGTGCACAAAGGGAAAGATTAGGAGAGTCACGAGGGCAATTCCTGCTTGCCCAAGGTGCTTGCCTTCTAGGATGAAATGGCTGGTTGTGTGCACAAAAGAAGAGCCATGAATTTAATGATCAAATTTAGTGCAATTACAGCAGTCTGTGATTACATTATCATAGTCTATTATGAAACATTGTAAATTGCTACTCTAAAAGTCAACAGGCGCGGTTTCAGTTAATATTTTGCAAATTATGGTGCTTGTTCATGGCAGTCTATGCACTGTGTACCTTTTATACTGCAAGCTGACTTAAGCATCGTATTAGTTCTGCAGCACCAAGGTGTGTGAATTACTTTTGCAGTTATCCATTATAATCAGCATACAGAAATTAATTTAGTCACATTTTAATTATGCCTAATGCAGGATTATTTTGTTTAATATCCCATAGCAAAGAAGCTCAATAAATTAGATGCAGAATGTTGAATAATGCTAATGGTATTCAAGAGATTTGCACTGAGGCAAGAAGAATTAGGCTGCTAAATGAGTTGAAAGTATTTCAAGTGAATGGCTGATAAAAAATTATTCTAAAATTGGTGTGTGCCACAACACACTTGGCTGTTTTATAAGTTCTTGCCTTTTATCCACAGAGGTT